ATATCTGTGACTTTTCTTTCCAGTTGCTGCATTTTGTCTTTAGTACCTTATATTCTGTTTTCCACTTCATTCACTGTATGGCTTCCATTGTGGTTTGCATGGAGGAAATTGAATCATTTATGATTTCTCTGTTGGTTCTCAAAGTATTAATCTCATCTTTTAAAGAGATGTGTAATGCATCTGTTTTTGAGTGCATCTCTTGTTTGAATTCCTGGATCTCTTGATAATTTGTTTCTTTGTTCTTTCAATTTCTGATCCATTTCTTGCTTTAATTCTTGAGTCATTGCCTCTATCAGCTTAGCATTTGTCTTCTGTTTCTTTTTCACTTTCACTGGAATTCTTTCCTGGGTGGCTGCTGGTCTTTGGGGATGGTTTGCTGTCTTGGCTGTTGATGAATCTTGTAATTTTTCACTGTGATTTTTCACATGAGAATTCAGGGATTGGAGATGAATCTGGAACTCTGTTTTGGTCAATAGGTGGCTGCCTATGCTTGGCTCTAGGTTGGTTTCTGGGTCAATTGTTGAAGCTTGCTCTCAGCTCTGGGCTGGCTGAGACTTTGCCTGGTCTTGGTCCTGTTGGGGGAAGGGCCGATCTCCAGCTGATAATCTGACCCATGTAGGGCTCACTCTTGGTAGATTCTAGTGGGCAGACACACTCCATCCTCTACTGAGGCATGCGCTCAGTGCCTGAGGTCAGTCAGGGACAGGTGGTTTAGACAGCTTGGGCCTTTGCCTGGGACACAGGTGGGGCTCATTCAGCCACCTGCTGGAGCCCACAGGCAGTTCCCGACTTCAGCCAAGGACTGGAAGCCTAGACTGTTTGTGCTCCCTTCCAAGGGTGTTCTTGGCAAAACCAGGTGGGCTGGATATATTCCACCAGTTGCTGGAGCCCGCTCACAGTTCCAAACTTTAGCTAGGTACTGGTGGCCTAAGCTGCCCAATCCCCAGCCCCACAGGTGGGACTTCTTCCACCACTGGCTACTGAGGCCCATGAGCACTGTTCCCGACTTCAGCTAGGGTCTCGTGGACCTGGGCTGCTGGGTTTCCCGCCATGGACACACAGGTCGGACTTCTGTTGCTGCTGGCTGCTAGGGCCCACAGGCCTAGTTCCTGATTTCAACCAAGGACTGGTCACGTTTGAGCTCCCTCCCGGGGGCGCTCTTGGTCAAACCTGGTGGGCTGGTGTGCTCCACCTGTTGCTAGGGCACTTGCACAATTCTCAGCTTCAGAGGAACCGGTAGCCCAGGTGGTAGGGAGGTTACTACCAGCACTGATCTTCCATGGTGGGGGGGCATCCCTCATAGGATACTCACTTCTTCTGGAACTAGTTGGTGACTGTCCAGCGGTGCTGGGGTAGATTGCTGTTTCTGTGTGCTGTAGGTCACTGGTCACCACCACATTCCTAGTTCTGTTGAAATGTTTGTGGGCTGGGCCGGGTGGTGGTGGGAGCTCGGGGTCTGCATTTCGAGGTCTCTGTCTCTGTCTCTGTTTACACAGTCCAGGTCCTGCACCAGCACCATGCTAGGCTTCTGCACTGGAGTTCTATGGACCACTGTGGCTCTGGGGTCCCTGGCAGCTGCAAGCTGGCAGCTTTCGGGGCTTGGCCTGGAGCCAAGCCTTCAGTGAGGGGTGGGATGAAGGTCTTTGTGCTTTTCCATCTTTGTGTAGGTTCTGAAGTTTTCTCCTATTCTTTTTTCACTTTCAGTATTTCTCTGGTGTTCACTTTCTTGCTTTTGTTGGTCTCCTGGGGAAACCGAATGTTGGAACTTGAACTCTCTATTTGGTTGGAGAGAGCTGTGGTATTTCCCTACTGTTTCATCGCCATCTTGGGTCCCCCCTTATTATATTTTTTAATTTAATTTTTTATTGTTACTATAAATGTTATGTACAAGGTTACTGTTATATACGTCAGGTAAAGGGTACATTTCTTTTTGGATAATGTTATGCTTTCCCTCACTCTTTCCCAGTTTTCCCTTCCATCCCTACCTACAAGTTGTATAATTCATTTTCAACATATTGTCTACTGAGCACTACAGCTGCATCTATACTGTATCTTTTTATTGGAGAATTGAGACTTAACATTCAACATTAATAGAATGTGTTTCCTAACATTTTCTTGTTTTTATACTAGTTATTTCTTTGCTATTTTTTGATAATCTACTCATCTAATAGGGCTTATTTTTTTCTGCATTTAAATTTTTTTTATTTTCTTCTGTGGGTAACATATCTTTTAAAAACAAATTTCTTCTGATTTTTTTGTTGTTGTTGTTTTTGAATGTCTTTTAAAAAAATATGTTTTTAGTTTAGTTGCCATGAATTCCTTTTGTTTTTCTGGGAGATTTTATTTCTTTTTCAATTATGAAGGATTGCTTTACTGGGTACACTAATCTAAGTTTGCAGTTATTATTTTTCAGGGTTTGAATTAATGACCTTTCACACCTTCTTGCATTTAGAATTTGTGTTTAGAAATCTGCTGTGATTCTAATGGTCTTGCCTTTGTACATAACTAGTTTATTTTCTTTGCAGCCTTTATAGTCTTTTCTTTTCTCTTTTTTGACAGTCTTTGGGCTTGAATTCAGCTTGAACTGAGCTTCTTTTGCTCAAGGCTAGCACTCTACCACTTCAGCCACAGTGCTACTTCCAGCTTTTTCTGGTACTGAGGAATCGAATCCAGGGCTTCACGCATGCAAGGCAAGCACTCTATCACTAAGCCACATTCCCAGGCCCATAATTTATTTACACTGTGTTTTAAAACTATAAAGTGTGTAGGGGCATTTTTTCTTATCTTGGCTGTTTGGTTTTTAATCTTTGTCCATGGGATTAGTCCTATTTTTCTTGAAATTGAAGAGTGAAGGGACTGAGAAAGGATTAGGGATAAAGGAACAGGAATAGTAGAAAACATGAGCAAGTAAACATTTATACATGAAGGGAAAAGGAAATTGTAAATGAGAAGGGGTATAGAAGATGGATGAAGAGCCAGATACTAGTGGCTCACACATATAGACCTAGCTACTAAGACAGATCTGAGGATCATGGTTCAAAGCCAGCCAGAGAAGGAAAGTTCACGAGACTCCAGTAAACTATCAGGAAACTGGAAGTGACATTGTGGCTCAAGTGGTAGAGCACTAGCCTTGAGCTGAAGAGCTGAGGGACAGTGCCCAGGTCGAGTTCAAGCTCCATGACCGACCAAAAAGAAAGAAAGAAAGAAGAAAATGGATGAAAATGTTAAAATTTAAAACAGAGAGGCAAGTACAGTGAGTGGTTCAGCTATGATAATTCTGGAGAAAAAGAAAGAGAGAAAGAAGGAAAACTAATAAGTAAACCAAAGGAATTTAATAACCTACACTAAAAAAAGTAAAAACTAAAATGAAAATGTCCTATGTCAAATACACAGAAAAAAATCATACAGTTAAATTAACAAAAAATAGAAACAAACACACATTTGTATAAAACATTGAGAGAGGGGCTGGGAAGGTGGCTCAGTGGTAGAGTGCTTGCCTTGCATGCCTGAGGCTCTGAGTTCAATTCCTCAGTACCACATAAGAAAAAAGCTGGAAGTAGTGCTGTGGTTCAAGTGGTAGAGCGTAGAGCGCTAGCCTTGAGCTGAAGAGCTGAGGGAAAGTGCCCAGGCCCAGAGTTCAGGCCCTACGACCAGACCCCCCCCCCAAAAAAAAAAAATTGAGAGAAATCATACAGTTAAATTAGCAAAAAATAGAAACAAACAAACAGCAACAAACGCATTTGTATAAAACATTGAGAGGTGCTTTTGTTTTTGTTTTTTTGTTCTTTTTTTTGTTATTCCCTGTCCTTCAATATAAATTCTGCTCTGTGGAGTTCAAGACATTTGTGGAACTAATGTGGCTTAGATCTGGGTAGGAGGACTCTCCCTTAGCAGTCAGTACACAGAGCTAAGGGTTAGTCTCTTGACAGTGAATATTTTGGAAGCTAAGGCTCAAAGGTTCCTTGTTGTCCTAGCCTCAGGCAGTGAGAGTCTTTTCTTCGGAGAAGGTGAAGCAATGGAAACTGCTACACCTACATCTTCTAGCTGCCTCTAACAGTACCTCTGCTTTGTGACCCAGCACTTGGGTTCCACACTGCTTCCATTGCCAGTTATCTGGAGTGACTGCCTTTGGAGTCTCATTTATCTCTTGTGAAGGCCTGCCAGGTAAAATTAGTGCTTAACAAGGAGTTAAGTTAGTGGCTTAACAAGGAGTCCCAAGCCTCTCTCATCTGATATAGCCAGGCTTCCAAAGCCTCTGTTGTCTAAGCTGACAGTATTGCTTTCTGCAGTTCAGATTTTCTTGCTGGGTCCTGTCAGTCACACTTCCCTCAACTGCCTCTCATGACTGATTTATAACCGAATTCTATGGCAGTGCCCTTTGGGTCATTGAGCTGCTCCTGGGACCCAAAATAACTTCGTCTGGACAGTAGGCACTCTCACAAGCTGGTAATTCACTGTTCCTCCCAGAGCTAAAGGGAGCTTCTTCACCCAGGCTAACCTATACTATACCCTGTATGGAGCTAAGGCTTGCATTTTTTGTAGGATTTTTCTCAAAGCCAGAGTGGACAGGTCTATGGAATTTTACCCTCTATTGGAGTCTATTTCCCTTGCCACAGTCAGAGATACAATGACTGGCTCTTCGCTGCTTTTCTTGTGCCAGGATTGTTTCTTATTTTCTGCTTCCCTGCCACCTTCTTTCAGGTTTCTCTTTGTCTTGTTTTCATTCTTCAGAATCTATTTTCTTCTGTGTCACCAGATTCTTCTAATTCTTGGAGTGAAATTATAGATGCATTTAATACACCATCTTCCCTGTCACTTTCTACTATTTTCGAGAGCAACAGTTCAATTTCTCTCATTGTTTATTACTCTGCATGTGAAACTGGCAATGAGGTTGGTCAGTGAACAAGTTTAATTTGACATTGGCTTTATAAATAAAATGGTATGCTTGCTTTGTTTTCACTTGTTAATTTTAACTTTTTAATCTTTTTCTTGCCTTGCAGTTGAAAACAATCCTCGAACAGGAAATCTTGGTGCATTAATTAAGGTCTTCCTTTCTAGAACCAAAGAACTCAAACTTTCAGCAGAATGTCAGAAGTAAGTTGGCTAATTAAATCATGCTCTCCTTATATTTAGCAGTATATTGTTTTTCATTTATTGATGGAAATAACTTATGGCCTTTTGAAGGCCCCATGTGAAGGAATTATTTTCCTTATTAAGAAAAAAAAAAAGGTGGCTGGTTGCCATTGGTTTCTGCCTGTAATCCTATCTACTTAGGTGGCTGGGATCTGAGTATCGCAGTTCAAAGCCAACACACCCAAAAAAGTCCATGAAATTCTTTTTTTTTTTTGTCAGTCATGGGGCTTGAACTTGGGGCCTGGGCGCTGTCCCTCAGCTCTTCAGCTCAAAGCAAGCGCAATATGGGCCTGGGCGCTGTCCCCCAGCTCTTCAGCTCAAGGCGAGCGCTCCATCGCTTGAGCTACAAGTGCCACTTCTGGTTTTCTAGTGGTTTATTGGAGATAAGAGTCTCACGGGCTTTCCTGCTGGGCTGGGTTTGAACTGTGATCCTCAGATCTCAGCCTCCTGAGTAGCTAGTGGCTGAGTAGCCACTGGCGCCCAGCTCCATGAAATTCTTTTTTTTTTTTTAACTTGTGAAAATACCATACAGAGGGGTTACAATTACATGGACAAGGTAATGAGTACATTTCTTATCAAGCATTGTTGCCTCCTTTGTTTCCCTTTCCCATCCCTTCCCATCCTTCCCTCCCCCCCCCCCCCCCCCCCCACCTCCCCTCCCTGGCCAAAGTTGTAAAGTTCCTTTTTCAACATAGGGACTTGTACATCTCATTGTTGCAGTGGGTCCACCTGCATGAAATTCTTATCTCCAATTAACCACCAAAAAGGTGCAAGTGACTGAGTTTAAGTCCCAGGACCAGCACGCGCACACACACACACACACATACACACACACATACACACACTCTCTCTCTCTCTCTCTCTCTCTCTCTCTCTCTCTGTAGAGAAAAGAAGGTTTTAGCATTATAAGACATAGGGAATAAGATTATGAAGTTTGAAATTTGCGTTTAGACTTTTGGACAGTATTTTAAAATATATCATCATTATCACTGCTAATCATAATCATACCCAGTTAAACAGTAACTTTTTTTTCCATAGATGTTTCCTATATATTCTCTGTATTAGGTATATTAAATTTTTTTTGGAGTCCGGGTGTGGGGCCTGAACTCTGGGCCTGGGCGCTGTCCCTAAGCTCTTCAGCTCAAGGCTAGCGTTCTACCACTTGAGCCACAGTGCCACTTCCGGCTTTTTTCTTTTTGCTTATGTGGTGCTAAGGAATCGAACCCAGGGCCTCATGCATGCAAGGCATGCGCTCTACCACTGAGCCACCTTCCCAGCCCCTAGGTATATTAAATTTTTATGACCCAAGCATTTTTTAAGATTGCTGACTTATTTATTTATCGGTGGTACTAGATTTTGAACTTATGGCCTTGTACTTGCTAGGCAGGTACTGTACCTCCAGCTATGGTTTCAGCTGACATAAACATTTTTGTTCCAGCACTAGGGCTTGAACTCACTTGGCTTTTTCATTGAAGGCTAGTGTTCTATTATTTGTTCCACATTTCTACTTCAGGCTTTTTGTTGGTTAAGTGGAGATTAGTGTCAGACTTTATGCCTAGGCTGGCTTTGATTGCCATTCTCATATCTCCAGTGCCCAGCTTAGACACAGAATTTATAAAACAGTTTTTGGAAGGCGGTTTCTTAAAAGATTGTCTGTTTCTATGGTATCTACTCAAATTATCTTGAATCCAATTAAAGCTTTTAAATGAGTTAATATTCATTAATGTAAGTAAAAAGTATTATCTAGACTTGAACTCAAGGCCTGAGTTCTGTCCTTGAGCTTTTTTACTCAAGGCTAGTGCTCTACCACTTTGAGCCACAGTGCCACTTCCAGTTTTGTGGTGGTTAATTGGAGATAAGAGTCTCACAGACTTGCTTGCCTGGGCTGGCTTTGAACTGTGATCCTTAGATCTTGGCCTCCTGAGTAGCTAGGATACAGGTGTGAGCCCCTGGTACCCAGCTCCCATTTAAAATTTTATAATATATTACATTTATTCTCCTCATACTACCATTGTTTTTTTAAAAATTGCTTTTATGTTGAACAATTATAAAATTAAGAAAGAAGAGCAGTTATGCTTATGGGAATTGATAAACAGTTTCTAAAGTAGATTCCAACTTTGTAAGATACACAGAATGAAGTGTAAAGTAAAATGGTAATAGGTATCATTTGTCCAATGTAATCATGAGAAAACATCATTCCCATATTACAAGTAGACTGGGAAAAATCATTGACAAATCATAGACTAGATACAAACTAATTTCCTCATGATTATATATTCTTGTATGATTTTTGTCTTTTCAGCCACATCTTCATTTGGCAGACACATAATGCTTTGTTTATTATTTGCTGTCTGCTAAAAGTATTCATTTGTGAGATGTCTGAAGAGGAGTTGCAACTTCATTTTACTTATGAAGAAAAATCTCCTGGCAGTTATAGTAAGTATTGCCTTTGAACATGTCCTTGGGTATAACAAGTATAACATATATACCTTAAGTTTTAGGAATAAAAGTATGATTTGGAAGTTGTTTTTTTCTCTTATAACTTTTAATTTTTCTATATTAATAAAAATGTCAGTAGGCACAGTATCTCATTTATATGATTTCCATTCATGTGGAAGAAGGAAAGAAAAGAAAAATAAAACTCAGAAGTATTCCTTTAAGAATATAGAGTGATTGCCAGGGGTAGTAGTGCATATCTGTAATCCCAGCCCTTGGAAGACAAAAGTCAAGAGAAGTTTGAGGACATCCTAGACTACATAGGAAGAGTCTCTAAAATCAAAACCAAACAAAAAGAAAAAAGGAAAAGAAAATAAAGGTTTTATTGTAAATACAATTGACAGAGAATGCATTATTAAGGGAACTAACCAACCAAAATTGCAGATTTTATCAATGATGTAGGTTACTTTCATGAACATTTTTTTGGTTGTTGTTGGTCATGGGTCTTGAACTCTGTGTCTGGGCGCTGTGCCTCAGCTCTTCAGTTCAAGGCTAGCACTCTACCACTTGAACTACAGCGCCATTTGTAGGTTACTTTCATAGGACATAACAGTAATCTGAATCTGGATGTGAATGGGACTGCTTTATCAGAACTAATATTTACAGGGACAGTATTTTTTTGTGTGAATGAGATTTGAACCTGGGGCCTTGTTTTTGCTAGACAAGCACTATACTTGAATCATGCTCCCAACCTTTTGTGCTGTATTTATTTTTTGGATAGGTTTTTGAGCTTTTTGCCTTAGGCTGGCCTTGGACTCATATAGCTGGAACTATAGGCTCAAATCACTATTCCCTGCTTGTTCATTGAAATGAGCACTCATCCTTTTTTTCTCATCCTGTCCTTTTTGATCTCAGTGTCCAGAGTAGTTGAGAATATAGACATAGGCTATTATTCTCAGTTTAAAGACAGTTTTATGATGTTCAAATATGTCTTCTTTCTCTGAAAGTGGAGGGAAGGTATCTATTCTCCTCATATTGCTGGAAAAAATGTTTTTGTTTGCCAGTTGTTAGGAGGACCTATAGTTTTCAAGATCATATGCTAGTATTTCATATCTTAACATTAAAATTATAAGCTAAACACTAAAAGAATATGATGATTAGCTAATGAAAAATGAATTATGAAATTTTTTCATCTACACTTGATGGGAAAATGAACTGGCAAAAGCAGTGGCAAAGGCAGTGCTCTTCAATTTTCTGACTTCTGTTTTCAAAATATATTTCTGCTCTCATCAGGCTGACATATTACATGTGATTCAGTGTTAGGATCAGCAATTCCTAGGTGAAGAGTATTGAGATAAGCTCGTAATGTTTATATTTTTTTTTATTGTGAAAATACCGTAAAGAAGGGTTACAATTACATGGGCAGGGTAATGAGTAAGCTTCTTATCAAGCATTGTTGCCTCCTCCTTTGTTTCCCCTTACCATCCCTTTCCATCCTCCCCCCTCATGTGCCACCCCGCCCCCGCGCCAAAGTTGTAAAGTTCATTTTTTGACTTAACGTCTTGTAAATCTCATTGTTACAATGGGTCCCACCTGTATCTCTATTTAAATAATTTGTTTTTTCCCTTCCCCTCCACAAATTATACCAACATCAAATATAGTGAAAACGAGTTATTACGGTGGGGGAGTGTTTACACTTTTAATTGAGGTCTATGTACAATGTGGGTTTCAGTGTGTATGTACATAATCCCAGTTACTATCATAGTTTTAGGAGTGGTTCCCACTGTAGTCAATAAAATGTGGGGGTTTTTGTATGTATTTTTTATTGTAAGGATACTGTACAGAGGGGTTATAGTTACATGAATAAGATAATGAGTACATTTCTTATCGAGCATTGTTACCTCCGTAGTCTTTTGTTTTTCCTCTATCATCCCTTCCCTTCCCAAAATGTGTTTTTAAACATTAAAATCTAATGTTGACCAATGGAAACATGTAATAGATTTACTGTCCATCAGGTCAGAATCTCAACACAATGATTTTGAGTACATCTGTCTTTAGCTGTCATATATTTTCTGAATTCTGAAAACATTCTTTTTTTTTTTGGGACTTGAACTTGATAACTGATGCTTTTGCTTATTGGCTGGCTGGTGTTCTGTCAACTAAGCCATGCCTCCAACCCTGAAAAATTTAAACTCAATTGTATGGTAGAGATGTAGCTCAGTTGTAGAGTCCTTGTCTAGTAAGGCAAACCTTGGGTTTGATCCCTAGCATAGATAATGTTAGATAGGTAGGAGGTTAATAGGAAAGTATGTCAGTAGGTAGATAGATGATAGATAGATAGATAGATAGATAGATAGATAGATAGATAGATAGATAGATAGGAAAAAATGTAGAATTTTAATGTTTAAAATAGTAAGGATTTTCTTAAAACAATTGTTAGACTACAAAAATCTCATAGAGCCAGCAACTGATAGCTCATTCCTATAATCCTAGCTACTCAGGAGGCTAGAATCTGAGGATCACAGTTTGAAGCCATGCCCGAAAACTTACCTCCAATTAACCACTAGAAAACTGGAAGTGGTACTGTGGCTCAAAATGGTAGAGTACTAGCCTCGAGGGGAAAATCTCAGGGGCAATGCTCAGGCCCTGAGTTCAAGCACCACGACTGACCAAAAACAACCCCCCCCCAATTCAGGTATTATCAATTAAAAGTATTATGGAATTATTTTACATTTCAAACATGAATATGACATAACAAAATAATAAACTTCTTACCCAAAGTGGTAGCATGACTAAGTATTATTTGTTTATTTGTTTGTTTGTTTTGTTGGTAGTAGGGCTTGAATTAGAGCCTGGGTGTTGTCCTTGATCTTTTTTGCTCAAGATAAGAGTCTCACAGACTTACCTTGCTGGCTTTGTACTGCAATTCTCAGATCTCACCCTCCTGAGTAGCTATGATTATAGGTGTGAGCCACCTATATAAATATATAATTAATATATTCCCTTCTAAGACCTTATTACATGGTAGGTAGTAGAGGAATTTCCTACACATACTAGCAAACAACTTAGGGAAGTTGGCTCATCCTCTTTTTTTTAGAGTCCTTCTAATCTCTTTAAAGATCTTGAAATACTTTGGAGAAATGGAATAAAAGTTTTTTGTTTCACTATAGTTTTTTTTTTTTTCATTCTTATCCTTAGTTATTTCTGAGTTAGAAAAGATACTGCTTTTGATCAACACTTTGAAGATGTGATTCTGTAGTCTTCTAATATTTTGTTCTTTTTTGCGGCTGGCTGCCTTACTAGCCAGTTCATTAAGTTACATGGCTAAGGATTTGCCTATGAGGTCAGAATCTCACTAAATGCTTTTGCAGCTTTTAAGGAAATTGAAAGGTGACAGATATCCCAGGGAAGGAAATAACTTTCTTTACAATGCTGCTATATACAAGGTGTGCGGGATATTTTGCAGGTCAGAGTATTTCATTTTCTGTGCTAATAAATTTGTAGAATTAATAGCATTCACCTAATTACTTAATGCACTATCTCTTCAGTATGCAAATGGTTAGGCAAAACCTAGTTTGTGTTTGAATAAGATACCAATAATCTTATGTTTCTGCTTAACTTATGTGGAAAATCTTTGTTTCTCTAATGACACTGGGAAAATGCAGAATTAATTTTTCTTTTAGTTTCTTCCCTGAAAAACTGCTTAATTTAAAATGTCAAAATTAAGTTTTGTTGTTTTCCTTTTGTCAATTCTGGGGCTTGAATTCTGGGCCTGGGTGCTGTCCCTGTGCTCTTCAGCTCAAGGTGAGCACTCTACCACTTGAGCCACAGCGCCATTTCTGGTTTTATGGTGGTTAATTGGAGATAAGAGTCTTACAGACTTTCCTGCCCAAGATGGCTTTGAACCATGATCCTCAGATCTCAGCCTCCTGAGTAACTAAGGATTATAGGCGTGAGCCACTGGCACCAGGCCCAAATTAAGTTTTGTTTCCTTAGTTTTCTGAAGTTTCTTTACAAACAAAATGATATAGTCAACTATCTTCAGGGAAACCAAATAATGGTGTATTATACTATTTCAGTCCTTCATTTCATAGTCAAAATGTGGTAACTTAAACTGATAACTACTGAGCAAAGCTAGTATGTGAATATCAATTTTAGCAGTTTTATTTGCTTTCATTTTGTATTGTCCCTTTGTTCAAAAGACATATTCTATAAGAAAGCACTCATGGTTTTGTCCAGTTTTGAGCTAATATAAATTGCCACCTCCTTGAGGAGTGGAAGCTGGGGAGTTAGAGGAAAGCAGAAAGAGATAGAGAGAGAGAAAGACAGGTATATATACTTAAAATCTCTTTGATGCTGATTTTTAAAAATTAAAATTTAAATAATATCAAGTAAAAATGAGTTGTGTAAATAAATAACAGTGAATGTAGATGAGTTTTGTAAAACTAAGGGCAAGTATAGCTAGGTGGTGTGTGTGTGTGTGTGTGTGTGTGTGTGTGTGTGTGTGTGTGTGTGTGTGTGTAGGGGTGTGTAGGGGTGTGTGTGTGTATTTTCCATTTCCTGTTTTCTTTCTTCTTTGGGGGGGGGGGGGTCAGTCATGGGGCTTGAACTATGGGCCTGGGCACTGTCCCTCAGCTCTTCAGCTCAAGGCAAGCACTCTACCATTTGAGCCACAGCGCTATTTCTGGTTTTCTGGTGGTTTATTGAAGATAAGAGTCTCATGGAGGGCTGGGAAGGTGGCTCAGTGGTAGAGTACTTGCCTTGCATGCATGAAGCCCTGGGTTCGATTCCTCAGCACCACATAAGCAGAAAAAAAAAAGTTGGAAATGTCGCTGTGGCTCAAGTGGTAGAGTGCTAGCCTTGAGCTGAAGAGCTGAGGGACAGCACCCAGGCCCAGAGTTCAGGCCCCACGACCTGACCAAAAAAAAAAAAGAGTCTCATGGACTTTCCTGCCTGGGCTGACTTTGAGCCTCGATCCTCAGATCTCAGCCTCCTGCGTA